TTCCTGTGGACGGTAAAGGGATTTAAGGAAAACGTAAAAGCCAGACCTTGGGAGATAGTTGCTGTCTGTGACATTAGGAATGACGGATCTCTGTATGTCTGTGCATGCTGTCCTCTGTCAGAGGTTTTTGTGTGTTTGTGTAGATATTGTTCTAGCACAGTTTCTAAAGTGATTAATGTAGTTCTACTACTCCTTCTTCTTCACTCTGCATTTTTGGCACCTGGCACCCAAAACGCAGTTTGATGTTTTGTTACCAAAATGTTGGAACTTAGTTTAGAAATACACTGGTGCCCAGTAAGCTAACTTAATTCCCAACATAGTGCCTCAGGATGAATCTAGTCAGTGTGCATGCCTTTGCATGCCTTCCTGTGTACAGTGAGCATCATATTACAGAATCTAGAAGTGTGTGTGTGTGTCTGTGTACCTGTTTAGACATCCGTGTGGGGACCAACAGCCACTAGTCAGCACTAAAGTGCCACAAGTTTGATGCCATTTTTAAGACTCAAAATGTAGTTTTAGTGTCAGAGTTACAATTAGGTTGTGGTTGGATGGAGGCTAGTGTTAGGCAAACATTTTTGATGCTTAGGGTAAGCGGCTAGAGAAACATTATGTCAATTAGATGTCCTCACTAAGATATCAACACGAGAATGCGTGTGTGCGTGTATGTGCATGTGTGTTTCAGTACTGTAACGTAATAGAGCTCACAGCCTTTTGTTCTTCATAATCTTATTAGCTAGAAAGGTCCTAATCTGATGTCTGGTCATGATAATGTAATCTTCACGGTCAAACATTTAACTTGGGCTTTATAGTATTAGTGTCCTTTTGTAAAGCCACTCAGTCAGACTACTTAGATTTTAAAATGCAAACAGTTTTATCTAATTGAATAATTTCATTGATCTTGATAAACGGGTCACATTTAGCTTCCTCCAGGGTCGTCACCACAGGTGATCAGGTTATTGTGATGTGATATATATAGAACTTGTGTGGAAAAAGACGGCATGAAAAAGTTTATTTAGCTTACTTTAGCTTTCTACTTTAGCTTTATTACCATGAACATTGCACAGTGGTGTATTTTGAACCAAACTAGGGCGTAAACCAAACCTCAGTCAAACCAAACACAGTGAAAACTGAGAAAAAATCAAGAAAATCAACCAATTATCAACTGAAATTAGGTGTTTACTAAACTATCAGCAACTGCTTTTATATCAACTGATGAATGAAAATTAAAAAAGATAAAGAAGAGATGGGAGAAAAACCATCTGATGAGTGTTGGTGTTGCATAGCTTGTTCACCAGAGGGCACTCTGCAACTTCGCTATGGCACCACGCATGTATGGACGCCCAACCAACCAGCTGATCTGAGCAGTGTAAATAAGTAAGCAACTACACAAAATAGGTGTTATGGAAATCTGTTTGTTTTGTTTTTATGAAGGAAAAAAATACTGGCCAATATATCAAAATATCACATGTTTAAGTCACTAAATATTGGTGTTGTTTGACACAAATGCCATCACTATAGTCATATTGTGACTTACTGTAACTACACGGTAATACCAGATAGAGCAATGGTTTTAAATGCTATCTGGTTCTGATTTAAAAAATGACCGTCGTTTTCATCCAATTCATCCAAACTGAGATTTCAGTTTGTTAACTTGAAATTTCAAGATATTTACAATTTTGAATCAAAATTTTCTTCACTTTCAGCATTTGAATCCTAATTAACTCTTGAACTTATTAGGACGAGACTTTTCTCGTTATTTCAGCAAGCAATAAAAAAAATGATAATAATTTTTTGTCTTAATCACCAGCCACTAGTTGTCAAGACACCTCGAGGCATGATAAAATGGGCTGTTTTTCTTTAGTTGGATTTTGTTGCCACTGGTCATAAACTGGGCCCACATAACCAGAATGGCAACTGATAAAGGTTTGTGTGACCTGTGTAATCCCAAAGTCTTTTTAGAGTGGAAAAACAAATGCTTGTCACACACAGAGCAATGAAAACCCCTCATATTAAGATTTTGTGCCCCCTAGTGTTTATATGGCAACAATACATATTGACTTATGTTAATCGTATCGCTCTAATCTCCTTAGTCGGGAGGCAGCTGACGGCTCTCTGACACATTCCTTCCACTGATTTCTAACAAAACATCAGATGAAATTGCAGTTGATGGTACTCTACACAAACGCTGCATTATCACACACACAGCTTCCCGTTTCACTAAACTGCCACACTGGTGTCGCCATTAATTAAAAAATAATGAGTTTTGTTTGAAGCGGTTTAAAGCTATTGCTTTTTTCACCTTCATTACTGTTGAATCATGTTGATTAATCAATCCAACACACACACACACACACACACACACACACACACACACAAGGAACTGATAATTGTTCAGTGTTGTTTGTTTTGATAAATTAATGGACAACATTTTGTAAAAATCCAGTTATGTTAGTAATGTCCTTCTTTGTCCTGCTGCTGATTTTCAGGAATGTGGGCTATTTCATAACATCTGTTTCACAGTCTTGTGAGTTACATAAGTGCTCCAAAGCAAACATTACTTCCTTATTTATCATATCACTGAAGCTAACTTTACTGTGACAAATTCTATATTGGCATCTATTAAAATACGGCTGATGCAAAAATCTGAATAGTCTAGTGGGGTAGTTATGATATTAATTGGTCTACGTGATCCTTATGATTCTGGATGCTTGACTCGTATAGTAACTATAATATACTTTAATGCAATGCTGTCAAACAAAAGCAATAGAGACTCTGTAAACTAAGGAATCCAAACGGAAGGCGTTGGGATTTTTAGGCTGTTCTACTTATATAAAAAAGTTTGGTATCCTTAGTCGGCTTGTGTTAAGGTGATGACCATGAGCTGCGACTTTCCACCTGTGTGAGGGCCTTGTGGATTTATTTAATTACATGTCACGTTACATCCGAATTTCCAGCAGGATACAGTAGGCCATGTTCTCTTAAAGTTTTGGCTGATGTCATTCGGATCCCTCTCCATGTGGGCAAGGGGCACAGCAAAGAAACTCCAATGTGGGTATCATCAGCTAGCACACTGTTCCCTGTGTTGATGACAGTATGGCCGCCTGCCTTTGCCTGGCTGACTTCGTTGAATCTATTATAACGTCACTCTAAAGTGAGACAATTTGTTCACTTACACATTACAGTTAAAAATAATATTTTTTATAAATCAAAACATTCAAATAAAGTCTGCCATTTAGACAGCTGATTAAAGTACACAAACTACACAAATAAATTGGTATGCAAACTCACGCTGCACAGGCATTTGTCACGCCTCTGACAAATGCCTGTTTTCCCGTCTCTGATTAAACTCCAATACTTCATGATCAAACACCATTTGTAGTTTTTATTTCCACCCCATAACACCTCTGCCTGCTCGCCTTCTGTCCACCCTCAGACTAGTAAACACAAAACTTCCTAATTCAAAGCAGAAGTGTGTGGTAGTAAATGGAAGAGAGAGTGAGACAGAGGGAGCGTTATAAAAAACTAAATCTAGTGAAAAGGGAACAGCTAAGTCAAAGTGTGGATTAATGGGGTAGACTTATGAAAAACAGCACAGCGAGCGAAAGAAGGGGGAGGAGGAGTGGTGAAATCAGAAAGGCAAAAGTTTAATAATATCTGCCCGCGGAGGCAGATGTGGCTTATTGCCACCATTGGTCTGAAAAACAGCCGCTACGGGTTTGTTTATAGTCAGCGTAGTGGAAGAGAGATAACATTTTTAGAGGATTAGAGGCAGGAAATAAAAGGCAGTACCAAATAAAGAAGAAAATGCAAGAGTTTGGCCAGATCCTCAGGGATAAAGAGGAGGGACAGAAGGAGGCATGGGAGGGAAAGAGAAGGGATTAATGAAGGAGTGAAGGATGGGGAGGAGAAGGGAGATGGCAGGAGTTTTAGTCGGCGCAAAAAAGACGTCACAGTGACAGAAAAGGGGTGTGCGAGTTTACCGCGGTTAAGTGACCTGAGCAGGTCTTATGTAATCATAATTATAATCATGTGGGTTTTTTCTTCACTATTACGGTAAACTATTAGTCATCCACTAACAGATATCTGTAAACCTGTTTTGCACATTGTGTGGTTCATACCTCAGAAATTATTCATACACCATTTCATTGTCTGAATGATCCTGGTGGTTAATGATTGGTGCTTCGAGTATGCTTCTGGGTTTGTTAAGCAGATACTCTTACGCAATGTGCTGGTTATAAGTGATTAAAGATCATAACAAATAGATGTAAAATGAAACTTGAAAAAATATATAGTAGGAAAATCTACTCGTAAATCATAGAGATATTGATTGCCATTCAACAATACATTTCAGTTGAGAAAATATTACACTAAGCAGGTTGGGAAATTCTGCAAGGCAACAGAGGGAGAAGCTGAAAGAGCGCTTGGGGTGTGTGTGTGTGTGTGTCTCTTTGGGAGGTTGCATCACAGGAAACAAGCTCCCCCTCCTGCAGTTGAATGTGACCCTTTGGCCCTGGATCAAATGCTCCTCCGGGCTGAATACCATGAAGCCTCTGTCCTCTGCACCACGCTCTGCTCTGCACTGCACGGACGGCAGGGGGAGGAGGGTGGGTGGGGGGTTCGGGGGTCAGGACAGATAGGGTGAGGAGTGGAGTTGCAGGAGGGGGCAGGATAAAAGGGGTAGAGAAAATTTGGCTGATGCAGAAGTGAGAATTATAAGCAGTCAACATGAAGCTCAAGCACATATGCTACCTGTAAACAAATGCAGACTGGCCCCCCTCCCCTCCCTCCGCTGGCAGACATGCATGTTTTTAAAGCCTAAAAAGTGGAGCCGGAGACGCCGACTCTGGCTCGTCTGTTTGTGCTGCTGAGGGGATTGAATCGGGCAGAAGACGCTCCTATTTTTAGTCCCATGCGCGATGGAGGGATCGAAAAGCAAACAGACAGTATATGCACAGGCAAAGCAGAGAGAGCGAGACGGGGGGAGAGAGAGAGGGAGAGAGAGGCAGTGAAAGGAAGGGAGGAAGAAGGAGTGACTTATTTGTGAAGTTCTGCAAGTTTGGATGACTGGCTCATTGCTGTCTGAGGAGGGCACATGGCTGGACTTGGGCAGAGGGCAGAGCTGGGAGGCTTTCTCTGCTAGAAGCAGCAGCTTCCATTCGCTCTCCAGCCTTCTTTCCTAATATTACAAGCCAGTTTGAGTTCTCTTCTGCATTCTCAAGTGCTACATAAATGCCTCTTTGACTTCTTGTGGGGAGCTGAAGCAGTAGAAGGGGCTTAGAGGAGGATTGCCCCGCCATGGAATGCTGTAGATTTGCGTGCAGGGTTTCAGGAAGTTTTTCTTCCCCTTCTCGGGTTCATAGGTTTGGGTCCGGATCCAAAAACTGTGTGCGCTTCTTAGAATTCCCTCAGAGACTCAAACCAAGGGTGCTGTGGCTCTGGTAATGATTTAAAGGACAAGCAACAACCACGGGCCATTTAAACGTGTATGCACTTTATTTGCACCTACATTCATCCCAGACGAAGGAATTCAGGATGCGACGCTTTGACAAGCTGAAAAAGACATTCCCCTTCCTGGCACGCTTTCACGTATATCGAGTAAGTCTGCTCTACTGGATTGTCTACTCTCCATATTCCATTGAGGGAATATCTTCTTTAGCATGACATGGATACTTGTAACTATAGTCAGAGTCATGTGGTTTAATTAGTTGTTAGAATACATGAATCATGAATATGGTATGGTGGAGGTCAGTTGTCTGTAACTCTGCGCGTGTGTGTGTGTGTGTGTGTGTGGACTCTCCAGCTGGTCTGAGGCTCTCCCCAGGGAGGGTTGTTATTGCAGCAGGATGTGAGAGCAGAACCGATTTAACACAGGACATGATTTTGGCCAGAAGGTGTAGGTTTGTGTGTGTGTGTGTGTGTGTGTGTCTGTGTACGTGTACATGCGCCTGTGTGAATATCAGCACCACCTTGAGGAATTCGTTCAGGCCAAAAGCATTTCTCAGCAATGACACCATGTTATTTCTCTCCATCTAAATTCCTGCATCCCTCATTTATTTCTCTTTGTTTTCCTCCCTGTTTGGTCGTTTACAATATTTTTTGAAGTAAACGCTAAGCTTGGACAGTTTAGTGCAAACAGGCTTAGCTTCTTAATCCTTCAGCATTTCATGATGCTTCTTTAAAATATGGTGAAATGAAGGAAAGTATATAGATCACTAGTTAGTTCTGGATTTCTAGCCCTGGTTGGATTCTTCAGAGTCTTAACAGAAGTCATTTCTAATGGTTGGGATGCAGCATTTCTTTCAAGTTTAACCTCACATCTTCAAAATGTACATTTTCTACTTACTACTTTAGGAGAAGTTAAGCCCCTGATGACGTTTTACATAAACTAAATAAAGGAAGGACCCTGTTTTGTTTGGAGAAAGTATAATTTGATGGTCTTAGCTGGTGAAGATTCAGGGTGTATCAAAAAGAATCACCTTAATTCAAAAGGCTATATGTTTCAAAGTAATGGGCATAGACGCTTGCATGTTAAGTTTTACATACAAAACTTGCATCGTTTACACATGCTCAGTGTGTCCCCAACCAGATACATGGCACACATCAATACGATAACTCGTCCCAACAACCACATGAATCTTTTAAATCCTCGCTTTCTACCAGTACATGTTTCGACTGTTACCAGTAAACAGCTGCGGATTTAAAGCACTTTAAAGTCAGATGTTTCTTTTTAATACACCCTGTATAAAGCTCTTTCTTAACCACCTAAATTAATTGTATCAAAGCTTATTTCTATGAACGTGTCTTAGGAAAAAACAAACCCAACACGCCTTAATGGGTTTATAATTTGGTTGCTAGTGGGCCAAGAAGTAGAAGCGCTTCATCTCCTTGATTTTGACCCCTCATGCC